TGTGCTGCGGTCAGTCGTGACAAAGTCCCCGCCAGAAGATCGGGTGTGCATCCCGCCTCTGACAAACATCGGCTCTGTGACCAGGGGGTGGTGCTCTCTCCTGGAGCCTCTGCTTATTCATCATAAACAGAGAGTCCTCTCCCTCACTGTGGAGTGTGAAAGGATTCCACACACACGCTCTGTAAACTGGGGCCTGAGCAGACTCAGATCCTCCCAGTGCTCCCTAATTAATTGGAAGGAGGGTGCCAGCCAGAAACCAATCACACAGTCCCTCCAGGGGCCTCCAGTGGCAGCTTCTACCCGCGCCTCCCCCCACTGCCTCCTGAGCAGCTGTCCCACACTCCAGGCCCACAAAGGACAGACTCCTCTCAACAGCTTTTCTTCATGTGGCTGCCACTGGATTTGCATCTGTCTCTCCCTGGCAGGGCCTGCCCGGTGCCAGCTGCTCCAAGCTGCCCTGGCTGCAGGCTGTTCCCCGCCAGGGCCTGGTCCTCTGGAGGCCACAGCACAAGGAAGGGGAATTTGGTGGCACTGGAGCTGCTCTGGGCTCTGAAGGAGAGGGAAAGGGTCGGGCCGAACACCAGGAGTCTGCGCTTTCTCCCATCTCCTGGACACAGGACAAGCTTGCTGGCCACACTGAATCTCCAGACCAGACTGCGGCCGCCGGTGCTGGCGGAGGCGGTGTCTGCTCCAGCTGTGGGCCCAAAGACAGTGGAAAACCTCACTCCATCGCCGAGCTGCCAATCCGCACGCTGCCAGGATCCTGGTGCTGCCAGTAGCCTCATTCCACACCCGCCAAGCTTACGTCTGCACCTCCTGACTTCACACTGCCCCCAGGTGCCAAGGGACCACGTCCCAGGGAAGGGAACACAGGGCCTTCAGGCGCAAAGGAGGTGGCAGCTTTTCTGGAGAATGGGCTTCATGGCCAGGAGGCAGACAATAAAGAACGATCGCCCCTGCATTGATGGAGCACTTACAGAATGCAGGCAAGGCAGACATTCCTGGCTGGTACTCACGGGACCTTGGGGCTCCTTACTGGGACTTGGGATATCCCCTTCAGGTCTGTTCCCCCCCGAGGTCCTGAGTCTAAGCAGGGTTCCTAGGGTGTTGACCAACAAATGACAGGGCCACACACCTTCTTGCAGCAGGACGCCAGGCACCTGGAAGGCCTACAGGCAGAAGGAGGCGTGACGGGTGTGGGGCAAGGGCAGCAGGGCCTCCCCACCCCAAGCACTAGGAGCTGGGTCTGTGCTGGCACCTCGGGGCCACTGGACCAGGCTCTGGGAACTTCTGGCTCTTCCATGTCTCCTCCAGTCACAGCCAGACAGGAGAGAGGAACTGGGAAGTAGAAGGGTCCTGAAGCCAGGGACTTGAGACAGGGCCTTGTGATCCTGTCCCCATCCTGACATCAGCTGGGTGCAGCAAGAGCTCCATGCCACCTGACCCTGTCCCTTACCTCCATGCTGTCTCCAGGGGACAGGCTGCACAGCAGAGGCCTGTCCAGATCCCAGCAGGACAGGCAGGGCAAGGCCGCCAGGTAACAGGTGCAGGGCTAAGTGCCTGTCCTGCCTCCACAGGTCAGCCGGGCAGAGAGAGGTCAGCCAGGAGTCCCAAGGGCCTGGGTCCTCACCCTCCAGCCTTCAACTTCCAGGATGGCAGTCATAACTTCTGTCCCCAGGATCTGAGTTCCCTCACTTTCCAAGGACGGCACCATGACTGGACTTCTCCCGTGTTCCGTCCCCTGTGGGTGACTCCACAGGCACCCAGGAGACTTCTGGTCCTTGACAAACACAGGTGTTTCTACCTGGGCAGGATGACACTGTCTTTGGTCCCTCCACCTTCACCAGTGTCCCTCCACCTGTGGGCAGGCGGAGCCTTCAGGACAGGGTAGCAGAGTGAGGCTCGCCACAGAAAGAGCCACATGGCCTGAACCTGAGATAGAAGCCCAGTGAGGACAGGAGGCTGCCATCCAGGTGTCCCCTCTGCCACATGTCCTAAGTCCTTCTGAGGTGCAGCATGCATTCCTGTATGTCAAGGCACTTTGGCCTGGACGCTGACCCGCCAAGCTGGTCTCAGACGCTTGGAAAGCCCTCAGCTCATTCACATCTAACTTCCTACTGCACACCCAAGAATGGGGCATCGGTCACTCAAGCCACCTTGTCCCTCACCCAGATGCCCCACCTCTGGGCACATCACAGTCAACAGCAAATCACTCAACAAGAACGCAGAGCAGCAAAAGGGTGTTGTGAAGTCCTCCACAGCACACAGGCTTTTCCCATGGCCAGCAACTCATACTTTACACACAACTCTGATGCACTTCGTGCCCTGCTTTCCAACGGACAGCGGGCTGGAGACAGGTATCTAAACGTGGGAACTGCTGCTATCGTGGCACGTGAGTAGGACGAAATAGAGACAGAAAATGAAAACACAGGAGTAAGAACTTGGAGCCACTCGTCACCAGGACGCAGCCTGTGCCCCTCGCCCCTGGCTTGCCCTATGGAAGCACGCTGCATGGAAAAGGGGCAGCCGTGGCCTATGGGTGGTCATCTCATAGCTTGGGAAGCCGCACCAGGTCCCTCCCTCAGCTTTTCTCTCTCTCTCCCTCTCTTGGTTTCCCTTCTTCTCAGTCCATAAGGAAATTAAGGTGGCTTACTAAAATACATACAACTGTAATCATCACAGCCAGGACAAATGCCATCAGACGAGCAAGCCAGAGACCCATACGGCTGTGTCCCTGATGCTACCAAGGGCTGGCATCTCTCCAGGAGCCCCCGGGTATTCTAGGCAGCATCTCCAGGGTTCCTCACAAAGGAGCCAGATGTGTTTGAAAAAGAGTGGTAAATGAGAAACTGAGGCTTGGCTCCCCTAAAGAGGTGCCACTATAAGGATGTAGCAGCTTTCTCTTCGTCGCTTCCCAAGTCTTTCTGAGCACTTAGCTCTCGTAATCCCTGGCCCACAGGACCTGACACAAACAGGACCCGCACCTGGAGGGGCAGCAGCTTCTCTCTCCTGTTCCCTCCCCCACCTACCACCCCACTCTGTAACAGTGACCCACCTCCCATGCTCATTTTGGGGCTCTCCTTCATGTCTGCTGGGTCATCAGACCACACACAGATAACCAGAGCCCCATGCCAGAACTGAAGCTGTTCCTAGGTTCAGCATTGGGGTCGTGGAGATGAGTTCCTGCATTTCACACATGGAAAAACAGAGGAAGAGAAGGAAAACGACTGGTCAAGATCACACAGTCTGTGGATGGCCAATTTAGGACTAAAGGCCAGGCCTTCTGACTCTCAGGACACAGTGATCTCTCCTGGGTACACAGGGAGCCTCTCCCTGCAGGCTTGCAGGCAGCAGGATGGCGCCCAGGCCTTGCCTGCGCTCTGCAGGAACAGGGCTGGTCTGTGAAGGGCCACAGGGGAGAGAAGACAGGGTTAAGGAGGGAGTTTTATTTAATCCTCTGAGCTGGCTTAAGCCAAGGCCACATTGGTTGGAGCAGGAGGTGACAGGCATGGAGGGGCTTGCTGGGTGGGGGCTAGGAACTGGGTGAGGGGCAGTGTTAGAGTTTAATCCCTGGATTCCAACAGGGCAGGTCTTCCAGCAGGGTTATCAGGCCAGGCAAGTGCTCACCTTCGTGTATTTCCTTGTCCTTCCTGTGCCAAGGCACCAGGCCTCCACCATGGAGGGTCTACCAATACTAGAGAGCGCCACAGTACAGAGAAACAGGAAGATCACAGGCTATAGACTGAGGCTGACCTGAGCGCAAACCCTAGTCCTGCCACACGCTTGCTGCGTGACCTCAGACAAGTCACTGGCTCTCGGAGCCTCAGGTACATCTCAGCTAAAGGGAGCTGCACGCACCATCATGCAGGCCTCCTGGACGGGATGGCTGCATGAATGTGTGTACATGCCAAGACGCGGGAGGTGCCGAGTCGATCCTTCACACTGTTGTTACAAACCTCACATCCTTTATTCCCCATCCGGGCCCGTTTGCTTGTCTTCTGTCCCAGCCTGCTGCATCTTTGGCATTAATAGCCTTGCTGATCATAATCCCTCCCAGCTGAACCGCGTCTGTGTCATTTCCAAACACTAAACGTCCTGCCCTGTGGGCTACAGCTGTCCTGCCAAAAGCAGCCAGAGCTGAGGCAGCCCCTCAGCCCTCACTTGTCCTCCTCCACTGCTCCCAAGTGAGTCCTGTATCCTGACAGAGCCCTGAGAAGATGCAGGTTCACACCCTTCATCTCATTGGTTCTCCAACTGCCTGTCACCACCCCAGAACCACATTAGCGTCCTCACATTACACAAGAGAAACTGAGGCCCAAAGTAGAAGCCCCCACCCCTCCAGGTTATCCACCCAAGGGGTTTGTTTGGGTTAGATCTGACATTGGGTGTCCCCCAGCCCCTTAACCCTGGGCACTTCCGCTGCCTCATCTGCTGTCCTCTTTAAATCTATCCTCCCTACAACCGGGGCGCCCCCAAACTTCTCCAATAAATCTAGGCCCCTCTGGCAAGTCACAAGAACTCTCCTTCAGTATGGGGGACACCAGGACGTCCCCTTCCCTGTGTCTTCCCCCACTCCCCATCTTCAGGCGGGCCCCAGCAGAACCTTCCCCACTGCTGGCAGCGGCTCCTCTGCCCAGTGGCTTCGGAGTGGGGCCGGACTGCGCTCTGGGTCGTGGCAGAGGCCGGCAGATGGGGTGGGGCTTTGCCCCCGGCGAGGGGCCTGGGGACGACCAGCCCATCCCAGTCCCTGCGGGCGACGCGCTCCACTAGGGACGCCAGGGCGCCCGGGGAGCCCAAGCCAGCCTCCAGGGGTTAACACCGCAGTGTCCGCAACAGGGGTTAAAACTGCAGTCCCGGGGCGGGGGCCGCGCCCTCGCCCTGCCTCCGCGGTGCCCCCGGCGACTCTGGCAAGGCGGGAGCCGCCGAGCGCGCGCCGGCCGCGCCTTCCCCGCCCGCGCGCCCCCGCCGCCCGGCCCGGGGCTGCGGAGAGCCGCGCTTACCTTGGTGACCGTCATGCAGGAGTCGGCGGCGCTGCGGGCGCGGGCGCGGCGTGCGGGGGCGGCGGCAGCGGCCGGGGTCCCGCGCGCTCCGCGCAGCTCTGCGGGCGGGCGGCGGGCGGGGAAGGCGCGCAGGGCCGCGGGTCGGCGCTCGCTCGGCGCTGATGTCAGCCCCGACTGTGCATTTATAATGGATGAGCCCGGGCCGCCGCAGGAAGGCGAGGCAGGAAGAAAGGGAGCGAGGGAGCGGGCCGGCTGGGGGCGGGGAGGAAGGGCCTCGAGCTGCTACAAAGGAGGAGGCGGAGGGAGAGGCGGGGAGGGCGGCCCGCCGCACCCGGCCCCGCCGCCCCGCGCCCGAGGGCACTGCCGCGCTGGACCCCCGCGCCTGGGATGCCGCGCGCCCCTGGCACCTGCCGGCCCTGGGAGGGGACGCTCGAGGGCCCTGCCACCCCGGCCCCCCAACCAGCCCTGATCCCGCACGCTGTGCGCTCCTGGCACTCGACAGTCCTGGGAGGGGGCGCTCGCGGGCACTGCCACCCCGGCCCCCCGAACCAGCGCCAGGTCCCCACGCCGTGCGCTCTTGGCACCTGTCGGCTCAGAGAGGGGGCGCCCGCCGGCACTGCCACCCCGGACCCCCGAACCAGCCCTGATCCCGCACGCAGCGCGCTCCTGGCACTTGACGGCCCGGGGAGGGGGCGCTCGCGGGCACCCCCGGCTTGGGACGCGGGCGAAGTCACGCGCTGGACTGCCGAGGGACGGGCGGGAGGCGGCCGCCCCCTGGAGGTCCGCGGAGTCAGCCCAGTGCACAGGCCGAGGTCGCCTTCCTGGAGCCCGCTGGCCATGGCGGTCTGTGCTACAGAGCAGGACCAGTGCCCAAGGGGGACGGACTTGCAGGGCGCTGGATCCTGCTGGCCCGAGTGTCTCCCCACTCTTTACCAGGAACCCCGAGTTTTACAAGCTGCGATCTGGGATGTCTGCACTACCCTTGTATGCAGGTGCGCCTGGGGTGGTGAGCGAATCCTGACCTGGTCACCCACAGGGATTGAAGGGACAATCACCACAGGGTGACCTCTTAAGTCCTGAGAAAGGTCTCCTCTCCCACACCCGGGCAGAACCGGTTTCGGCAGACACCCAAGTGGAGAGGGAGATTCAGCCAGGCCCGACCTGCTTCCTGCTCACCAGAACAAGGACACCCACATAGCCTGGGAGCACCTGCTGGGAGGGAGGGAGGGGCAACAGCGGGAGTGTGAATGTCGCTTTCCAGGGGACACTGTTGGGACTAGAGCAAAGCTCACAGTGACCAGGTCATGCTGTGTGGAGCCCCAAGCCACACTACTTTTCAATGTATAGCCCCAAAGGCAAGTCTGGGAGGCTTTGTGGCCTCCAGTTTGCTGACAGTAAACAGACTTAGACCCTGGAAGGACTTGCTGGCAACTGACGGAACCAGGACTTGAACTACAAAGTCAGGGCTGTGCATTGAGCCTGTGAACTCCAGGGTCCCTCCACACCTGCTGCCTGATTTGAGCCTCCTCCATCTTGGAAGGTAGGCAGCCAACTATGAGTCCCCAGAGGTGATTCCGATGTTACTGCAAGCCTCAGGCATTAACTCTGTGCTAGACCCTCCTATGCAGTTTCCATATTGAACCTTGGGCCCTTCCCCATGCTGCCCCCTGCCAGGAATACGTGCCTCTCCCTGCACCAGCCCAGCTGCACCCCATCTCTGACAGCCCCCCTCACCTGACACCTCGGCCCCATAGCTTTGCACTGTGGCGTTCAGTTCTGAATCTCTGTTCTTGTTCCTATGCACTTCCCATGGTATAGACAGTGAGCCGTTAGCTGCTGGGCCCAGGGCATGTCTTCTCTTGCTGTGTGCCTGGACACAGTGGATTCTCAGAAGGTCTTTAGTCTCACCAAATCTAGCGTGGGAGTGTAGCTCAGTGGTAGAGTGCTTGACTGCCATGCACGAGGCCGTGGGTTCAAGCTCCAGCATCCAGCAAACACACAGACAGACAGCCACAAGCACACACAGACACACAGACATATCAGGCAAACAAACTAATCAGCAGGAGAGATGTAAATTAGGCTCATGAAAGCATTTCTCATCAGCCAGCTGTCCAGTGGTCAGATTCCTGTCCAGACTGGGATGTCTGTCTTAGGTCGGCTCAAGGCAGGAGGATGACTTTGGGGCCTTTCCAGGGCCCTAGGACCCCCTCAAAGCCATCGCAGGGCCAGCCAAGAACACTAGTCCCCTGTACTCATGCCTCTGACTGTCCACTTTCATCTCTTGTGGGTATTTCACATCCCAGATTGTCATCCTCAGCTACCCAGCATGCCTCTTGGCACCTTCCCCACCATCCGCTGTTGTGGGCTCGGAGAACGAGAAAAGTATTTAATATCTGCTCGAGCCAAGTGTAATTAGGAACATCAATCTGCTGCCCCAACCCACGTGACAGGCGGCACAGGCAGAGAGAAAAATGTTTCCGATTGTTACTCGCTGCTGGCTCACCCCTTCTGTCACCCCTCCCGAGCCAGAAGGGACAGCTGGACAAGCAAGAGTCCTCCCAAAGAACTCGGGCTCTATTGCCCAGGCAAGAGTTTGGCCCTGAGGAGGGACTCCAAAATGTGTTTCTGTGACACCTTGTCAACACCGCACCTCCTTCCTGGGCTCCAGCCACACTGCCCATCTTAGCTCGGGTTCCCCAAAGAAGAGACCAGGAAAGAGGCAGATGCAGAAGGTTTTACCTGGAAGGTGGCCCCAGGGTGGAAGAGGGGCCGTGTGAGGTTGAGAAACAGGACAAGCCAACCTAAAGGTATGTTCTTGAGGTCCATATAGGGGTACCTGGGGGTGGGGTCAGTTTCCCCAGAGACTTCTGGGTATGTACAGAATTGCCTAAGAGGGGTCAGTCATAGAGAGCAGGGCTCAGCCCCTCTCCCTTCCCCAGGGCTGAGGGCTGCCCGTGCCTCCTGCACTTCAGGGGTGTGCCTATGGGTGGAGGCCCAGGACCTCGGATCCAGACAGTGTCCTAGGACAGAATTGGGGAGTTCCTGGATCTTACTGGAGATGGGGTGCTGCTGGTGAAATCAGACTTAGGCTAGGCTGAGGGATGCGTTGCCAACTGTGGTGTAAGTTCTTCCATTATTACCTCTGGTGTCTTCTGGACACTTTCTCATCCCACTGCTTTTCTGTGCTCTTTCCTCAGTCTTGAACACCTTATTCTAAGCCTGGCAAACTCCTATTCATCCTTCAAAGCCCTGCTCAAATGTCATCTCTATGTAACTCTCCTGATGCTATCTCCATGGTGACCTGAATCAAACTGTATTGTAATTATGTTAATGAGATACATTTGGTCCTGCCTCTTTTTATGGACCGAGTCCATGTTCCTCCTCTGTCTCTCTGTCTCTCTGTCTGTCTCTGTCTCTCCACTGCAAAAATCTAACCCAACTCCTGCTCCTCCTATCAGGGCCTCTGCACTTTCATTTGCCCAGTGTTTGCCCAGGTTCTGGACTGGGTGCCACTGTACAGGACAAGGAGGGCTTGAGCCTCACCTGTAGGAAGTTCGTGAAGACCCCCGCGGTGGCCTCCTGTCCTGGTCCTGGGCTGCACTGCAGCAGAGCAGAAGGAAGTCTCCAGCATGGAGCCCACGACTCGCTGAGCCCACTCTTCTGCACTTGTGTGTGGCTCACATTTCCTGTGTGGCACCCTGCTGATCATGAACGTCAGCGTGACAGAGACTGGCTCTTCTGCCTTGCTCCGTCGGTTCTGGCCCTGCTCCTTCCTCATTTGCCATCCTCCTGTTTCCATCTCTCGCTTTGGGCCTCTTCTGTCTTGCAGCCTCTCTCCCTGCCCCTCGCCTCTGCTCTCACCCACCCAACCATTTCTCTGTTGAACCCCCCTTTCTGTACTTCAGATCCCCACACTGCCTTCCGCACTGGTCCTTAGCGACACCCACCTGACCACCGCGAGGCCTTTCTCATGCCCCTCCAGCCTGGAGTCCCCAGCTGCTCTCACGCTGGGTGTGGGGCTGTCCTTTCTGAACTTGAGCTTCCAGGTTTCCGTCCTCCTGTCCCCCTCCCTTCTCACTCTGTGTTTCCAGCTCCAGCTCCATCTCTGGGCTGTGTCTGTGGTCCCTCTAGGTTTTCCTCCTTTGTCCCTCTCTACTTTCTCCATCGCCTCTGTGCACAATAACGACTTGGACACGGTCCTGCCCTGGGGTGTCATCTTCCTGGCACCCCACGTCTGTGGAGTGATGAGTCACAGGCCACCTACAGACAGCCACATCTGAGCCTTGGGAGTCACATTCTTGACTGGGGACCTCGCTTGGGCAGCAGTGTCTTTGTCCTGGACCCACTCTGAGCTTGTTTAGCGAGTTGCCTGTGTGCACGCCTGCATGTATGTGTGTGCACGCGCAGTGCTGGAAACGCACCAGGACGAAGCAGCCACAGAACTGGGCTCTGTGAGGAAACCCGAGACCAGGTCCTCCCAGAGGTCTCTCCCAAGCTGTCCCTGGGGTCCTGATGTTGAACAGCCACGAACGTTCAGCTGTGGGGAGAGAGAGCTCAGGGCTGATGAGCTCCAGGATCCTCCCGTCCTTGCACAGAGTGCAGTGCTTAGGAGCTTGGCTCTGGAGACCTGGGTTCAAATCCCGCCTCTCTCGGGCATGACTTGCATGGGGGCAGCTGCACTATGGAGAGGATCACAGCACTGGCATTTCAAGATACAACTGAGAGAATCAGAGACCGTGGGGGAGGCATGGGGAGAGGGGAAGGGGGAGTAGAGTCCAAGGCTTCCACCTGCAGTGACCTTCACAAACCAACAGTCTTCGTCTCTCCGTCCTGTCCTGTAATCTTGTCAGGGCAGAATAAACAGGCATTGTCAGAAAAAGAAGCAGAGGCTCAGAGACCACCTGGTCTGCCTATGTTCACAGCTCCATGGATCCAGCTGTGCCCCACGACCCCTGGCACATGCCCGGGACTCCTTGCCCTCCCAGGGCAGAACCCCATTTCCATCACACTGTACCTCCCTCTTGCAAATCCCAAGCTCTCTGCAGCCTGTGGATTAGGGCTCCTGGGGGTGAAGGGGAGGGAATCAGGAGGCCAGAGTTCC